GGGGGGGGGACAAAAACATATTATTTCTCACGAGTTGAACTTAAGTTTGATCTTCCTGCAAGGTGAGCATTATGAGGTATTACATTACGCGTAGACCAGACAATAACAAAGCTGGTTTTTACATAGAAATAGCCTGGTAGAGTTGTCCTAAAAGTCCATAACTAAGTTGTATTCAGGGATTTGCCATAGTTTACACTTACTTCATCACCGATTTTAGCGGCATTTTTCTTGGAAATGAAATATTGAAATGAATGTGAACATGTTCACTTCTGTCACTTTTGCAGGTCACTGATCTTATGCATAGAGCTCTCTATAACTTTTTGAAGAAGAGATTTAGCGGAAAGTAAGTCAATGATTTTATGCCAAACCAAATATATAGCATATTTACAAGAACTATTCAGCAAGAAACTGGTGAATTACTATCGAAAATAACCTTTAACCCTTTAAATCCCAGATGTGATTTCATGTAAGTTTTCCTTTCAATATCCATACGTTATCCTGCAAACAGGTAACGAAAACTTATCGGGTAAAATTCGTTATCTTGATCCAGCTTATTAGGTGGCAACCGTAGCTACTCTCTTGTACATTTTCCAAGAAATTTCACTGTTAGTTGTAGTCAACAAATCACTTATCTTCAGCCGCCTTTCGGGAAAATGTGGCAGGAAATGCCCAGCAGTAACATTTTAGATTTAAAAATGTCAGTCTTACATATAGAACTTCCAAATAGTTGGGCTCTGTTTTGTCCACTTAAAAATGAAATATAACCATCAAATAAAAACAAACACAACAACAAAAACTTCACCCGATTAGCTTCTCCTACTGACACATTCCTTGTCTTTACAGAATATCAGTGTACAGAACTCATGCGGACATTGGTTTGTCAAAGCGATCAAAGAACAATCCCTCAGAGAAAGAAAGATTTAATATCACAAAGGCAGGGGGCCCACGAATGACAGGTAAGTTTACAAGATCAACTCTTAGAGAGCATACTGTAGTAAAGTAAAAAAGGAAGATTTGTACCTTCATCAAATGCAGTTATGCGGTTTAACACATCTCTCCGCCATATATTTGTTAAAAATAATCGCTCAAAGCAATCTCTTTCTCAAAATTTCAACAGCTGAAGTGCAGAAAGAAGTAGAGCGTATATATGAATTGACCAAAGGTCTTAACATGGTAGTTATCGACTGTGACGCCATCAATCATCCGTCCCAGCTATTGGACTGCTCGCTGGCACCAATCGCCGTATACATCAAAATGGAACCACAGATTCTGGAAAAACTTGTTAAGCTTCGTGGATCTAAACGTAAGAACCTTGGCGCTCAAGTCGTAGCTGCTCAGAAGTTGGCACAATGTAATGAGGTGAGAAGGATTCTAGTTGGATCAAAACAGTTTACAGCCCTTATACTGTGGCTCAAAGTCTTCAATTTCTCTTTATAGTGTCTCACATAACAGTCAAAAGAATAAAAGAAATGATCACTAACTACAAAAGCTCTTGATTGTTGAACAAAGTCTCCTTGTCAGCACCTTAGAAAATGCATAGAGAGCAGTATGAAGAAAATCCATACTGACGTTTGGGTGCAAAGGGTTAACGATACAGGTGTTTGTAACTCAAACTTTCAATCTATGACTCTAATTTTCATTCTTAAGAAATGGTATTATGCTTTCTTAAGATACACCTTGCGTAAAGTTTGCAAAACTGTTAAGTTCGAAAAGGTTTCAAGTCACCTGGAATATCCCAAAAATTATGTAGCTCTGAACGTCACCGGTGCGTATTTCTGTATTCATGTAGGAAATGTTTGACTTGGTTCTTGATGAGGCCATCTTTGAGGACGCCTGCGAGCACTTAGGGGAGTTTTTAGACCAGTATTGGAGGGACTTGCACCCGAATGATAATGAGGACGGGGCTGAGTCATTATCGGAGAAGATGCCTCTTCTCCAGGGACCCAGTCGAGTTCCTGCTTTGAAGGTACATGTGTAATTTGCATAACATAGAACGCAAACGTTATTAAGACCTGAGGGCCTCAGTGGGAGGCCGGGGGGCTCAACGAAGAGGATGGGGTGTTAAGCACGTGGAAGAACAACAATACGCGAGTGCGCAGATGGATGGCACATAGACTCGGCGTGATACCGCTGGCCGTTTACAGACAAATGTGCTCTTCTGGGATCCTGATGATCCTTTCTTTCATGCGCTCGAACAGCTTTCTCGAAATATTTTTGAAACATGAATGATCCTTACTCGCAAAGGTTTGCTAGCGGACATTTTCCTTACTCGCAAATTGTCAAAAACACTCGTATTTTGTGGATTTGTAAGGACTAATTTCAAGCCCTGGTTTACCGCTTGGGTGTTATAAGACCAAAACCAAAGCTATCACAACGACCAATAAGAACAAAGGAATCAAGAACCTTAAGAACCAATAAAAACTTAACTGAAACCAGGCCAATTTAAACCAAGCCAATTTCCCATAGAGAAGGATAATGCAAAATAGGCATGACGCGACCGGATTTAATTTTGCGCCGTTAACTCTCAATGCAGCGTCGTTAACTTACAATGAATGTTTCAGGGTGCACAGAGTTTAGCCAAAAGCCAGCAGGGTGTTGCTGGGGGAAAACCAGGTTCTCCATTGAAAGGTGCACAACAACAAGGTGGACAGAGAGGGACACAAGGCACAAGTGGCTCTCAAACAAACCAAAGGAAAATGGCGGTGAGTGGCAATGCACCGGATTTTGGTAAGAAACTCCACGAAGCTTTCCAGAGTTCGCAGTCGCATAAAACCACCGAGCCAGAGTATCATTCGAGTTACGGACAGGAACCGCATTATGATCAACATCATCAACATCAACAACATCAACATCAGCAACAGTACTATGGCCAGGGGGAGCATTACCAGCAAGAGCAACAATATGGGTCGGAAATGTACGGGCCCCAGCAAGGCTACACATCGGAGCCTTATCACCAGGGGTACCAACAGCAGTATGGTCATGACAGCCAATACGGCTATGGACAATATGGGCAGGACCCCAATGAGGGGTACTCTCATGGGTACGAGAACCAGTACCCCGACTCTTATTATGACAGGGAAGCAAGTATGGGGTACCAACAGCAATACAGACATGAAATGGATAGTCCTTACCAACAACAACAACAACAACAACAACATCAACATCAACAACAACAGGAGTGGTATGATGACTCAAGCAACTATTATGGACGAGATGTCTACTATCATTAACATTTTTCTTGTTGAACAGAGTCAGATCAACAGTGGGCAATCTCAATTTGATCACTGAATTTAAATTTGAAAGCCTACCAAGCGATAGGCAGAGAATTCACAATGGTTCAAACAAATTCAAGGACCATATGCCAAGTGGTATTGGATAGATGTTGCACGTTTTGTATTTGCCACAGCATGATCTTTTTCTTATTATGCGGAGCATTCACATATTTTGTCATGTGATGCAAAATGAAATGACACTTGCATGCTTTACAGCACTAAATTGACTGCATGAAAATAGACTTGACAAAGTTATCTCATGACAGTTATAAAATCAATGTTGATGGCTCTTCCAACAAAGCAAAGAGCTTCTTTAGCTGCCCATTTATGCTCACCAAAGAGTTGTCTTTGCTATTCAGCGAGAACTCCACATATGTATACAAAGTATGATTTGAGGACCTGTAACTTCCTGCCTTTTTGCTTGATCACTACTCCAGAAACAACTATCCCAGGAAAAGGAGTTTTACTGTTTTGACCACAACTTAGACTACATGTAATTAATTCAATAAATCCCAATAACTGAGCTGAAAGCTATGAACAAGTCATTTTTGACTTGCTGCCTGCAATAATTCTTTTCAGGTCTTAGTCAATGTAACTAACCTAGAATGAATTAAAGCCTAAAAAATGGCTTCAGCTAAACTCTTTTATCACAAAGCAGGGCTGTCAAATAATTGTGAATAACTGGATTGTGACACAAAGTAGGGCGGCACTACAGGTTGAATGCCCCTCCACAGGCTTGGGCTCTGGGAGCCAATAAGGCCCCAAAGCATTCTGAATAGCTGGCTCATTTTTCAGAGTAGACTGTGAAATGCACTGGTAGCTAAATTATTTTGAAAATCTTGAAAATGTGATCTGTAATGTTAAGTAACCAACAATATTCAAGAGATTTTTCAATGCACTGAACTTACAATTTGAAAGAGCGAGGAGCACTGCTCTTTTCAAGATGAAAACCCAAATCTGTCTAATTTAACCTTTGTAGTAGAATGAAAGAAAATATTCAGCAGTAGTTTTAGTAGTTTAGTCCAGTCTCACACTACAGCAATTTTTTTTAACCATTTGGTTGGAACAATTGAGTAGAATAGATCACACAACAAATAATGTTGTCCTGTTAATTATGTTAAATAGCTTTATAAAATAAAATTTTGTATTTCAAAGACAACTTCTTGCATTTTATTTAAATTTGTCTACTGCTGTCTGTCACAGAGAACAATTTCCCACTTTCACATCAAGCCTGCCCCACATGAGAGATGGAATTACAATATCACCCTACAAGCCAACTTTTTCAAATTATTCCTCTCTGAGTGATCGTAAACGTATTTCTTGAGCAGATGGCAGGCCAACAGTGAAAGTTATCCAGATGAAATAAGTGCTTTAGAGGCTTTATACCTCTGGCGAAAAAAAACTTAACTGCAAGTAAGCATTCGAGTTTTATTCATTTATTACTAAACCTACTCGCTATGTTTTCACATTTTCATCAATCTGTTGTGTAAATCTGAAAATGTTTCATACAGTAAATAAAAGGGTTTCACCAGCAGCGTCCTAAGAACATTTACGTGGGGCCTTTTTCTATCAAAAACACGTTGTATCAACCAAAAAAAAGGTGAGGTGTACTAACGCTGTTCTTGTGGCCACTAATTGAAACAAACTGCCATTTTTTCTAAATGAAAATGCGTCCGTATCATTGACCATTTATTTTTACGTTGTTGTAAAGTCAAACAACGCTGAAAGGAATCTATACAAGTTACCTTGAATTTATCATCAATCTCGGAAACAATGCGTAAGATGCTTTAACTAAATACCCAACTAATCACTAGCTCCTTACAGAAACAGGAGAGCAGCTAAAAACGGTTATAAAACTTCAGTCCTTTGTTCATTGGCGATCCAATCGTAAGGCACAAGCGAGTCTCGCGTGGGTCACGCTTCTCTTTGAAGCGTTTGGTGTGCTCGTGCAAAGCTCGTGACAAAGTGACGAATCGTACTTTGTACGATAATGTCCCGGCATACCGGTGATAAAATAAACAGTAACAATTAATAAATCACAGAAAGCATTAAGAGTTGAGCCATCGTGGAAATTATTTAGCCCAAGCCATAACCCTGACACTGGATGGCTTGGAAGAGTTTTCTCTTTAAGATCTTCTTCGAAGGGTACAACGGTATGCTCATCCGCTGACCACAAGTAGTTGCCATGGGTAACGCTTTCGTGTTTCCGCTTATGACATCTACGGTGATATTAAGTTCTGAAAAAAGAAATTGGATTTTCAGGGATACCATTTCCATACCACGCCATAATATCAAACAAGCGAGCTTCCGCTTGTCGCCAAATCTCAACGGTCTTTGAAGTCAAATCCTCAGCAGCAAACCTTTCAATCGCAGTCTCAACTTGGAAAATATCATAAGTGAGAGAACTTTGTTTCAGATATTGCTAAATAACATTAGGACTCGTGATTATGAAACACCAATACAACCAATACCAAACTTGAAAAAAAAAAAAAAAAAAAAAAAAATTTGCTTTAAGTACACGACTGAAGGAAAGAACACTGTACCTTGCTCCGGGTCCCTTCTGTCGGACGGAGCTGGGAGAACTGCGCTCCCTGTGCAGAAGTAAAGCAGCTGCTGTCGTTGGAGGGGAGTCATTTTTTGAACAATGGACCAGAACCACCTGAATAGGGTGTAAAGATTACTATTAATACTTAGTGCTCGTTACTATCTAGGTGAAATTTGTTCACTACAATCTGGAAGAATTAAGTATCTGTCAAAACAGTTCACTTCAAGAGATGAGATCAGATCCGAGAAGTCTTTCCCATTTTATCAAGAAGAGAACAAAGGAGCGAGAAGAGGGGGCGCTTATGAGAAGGAGGGGCACTCATAAGAAGGGGGGAAGATCAATCTTGTTAGATAGAGGGCACCTCGAGGGGGGCTCATCAAGGGAGACGTATCTTGAGGGATATGAGATGGGGGCTTAATAGAGGAGCTTATCAGAGGGGGCTTATCATAGGAGGAATATCAGAATGGGGTTTATCAGATGAGTATATCCCAGGGGTTTTATCAGAGGGGGCTTATCATAGGCGGAATATCAGAATAGGGTATATCAGATGGGTATATTCAAGGGGTTTTATCAAAGGGGGCTTATCATAGGAGGAATATCAGAATAGGGTATATGAGATGGGTATATCCCAGGGGTTTTATCAAAGGGGGCTTATCATAGGCGGAATATCAGAATAGGGTATATCAGATGGGTATATCCAAGGGGTTTTATCAAAGGGGGCTTATCATAGGGGC